AAATATAAAAACAAAATATATATTGTGTGTTTGATTGGTCCAGACGCTACAATAATAATAATTAGAAATGTTCCTTGACCAATGATGGCGTAATGATGCTGAAAATTCAGATTATCCATCACAGGGATAAATTACATTTTAAAATATATTCAAATTTGAAACAATGATTTTAAAATGTAATAACATATCAAAATATTACTGATTTTATGATCAAATAAATGCATAAATTATTTATTTATTTACATATTTAACATCAAATATATCACTTAATTTTTCTGTGCCTCAAACAAAAAAAAACAATTTAATAACGCATGACATTACTCTTTTTTGTGTGCCAAACTTGTTAAATACAAAAAGCTTTTGGAGTTAAAGATCAGTGCAAAAGTAGGTATTTTTTGTCATATTTTTCAGAGAAAAATAAAGCATCATTTTGATGGACTACTGCAGTAATGAGGCTTATATAAAAGTGTAAACATAAGATAATAGGGAATGTAATTCAAACGTACCGTTGTTTGAATGTTTTATGATTTCACTCATTTAAAAAAGTGGAGATGTCAACATAACAGAGTTGAACAGAAAATACATAGTGTTGTTAAAGTTAAATTTCCATTACACTTCAATAAATTTTTTAAATAGATTTTGCAATCCACACTAACAGAGTTACATCTATATAATAATAATGTGACTAAGTTGTGGATCCTGGTAATTATATCAGTATGAGGTCATGGGGACAAACGCAGCACACAGATGGCACGGTTAGCTGAGAATGATCCTGATATAAGTGCCTCGATGTCTTTCTCTGTCTCTAGTTACTCTGTGAGTGGTGTCACGTTACTGTTGAAAGCCCTTTAATTAAGAGCTTAAATGCCAGCCAGACAGCAGGCCTGCCTCTGTCAAACAGCAACACTGGCTTCATATTAACACACACACATCAGTCAGTCAATCACAAACTGCTTTTAATACTGTATATGCACGCTTTTGCACTAATTATGGGAGAAAAGCTGCTGAATTCTGCTGAATGGATTTAATATAGCAAAGAGGATTAAAAAGAAATGAGAACACTGCATCTTTTCAGTAGCAGACTAAAAATGCAATACTCTTTCAACTGTAACAAGTTTGAATTTGAACGTAGTTGATGGGTCACAAGAGAGATTGAAGTCTAAGTGACCCAATTTGAGCGTAAATAACTAAATGTTTGGTTTCTGCTTTTTCCCTGATTTAGATGTGCAAAGTCCAGTCAGATCAAGACTGTGTCCAGCAGCAGTATATTTTTCAAGGGAAGCAGATTTCGCTACAGGTGAGTTCGAGCGCTTATCTGATGGAAGTAAACCGTATGTCAAACATGCTGATATTATTATTGAATATAATTGTTTCTGGTTTGATTCCAGTGGTCGGGTGGCTAAAGAAGTCATTGAAGCCAGTTCAAAGATTCAGAGAGATCCTCCTGTTGTACACAGGTCAGCCTCCAACTGAAGTATATCTTACTGTCACTTCTCTAGTCCACACTTCACTTACTTCAGGTTGTGGGAATCAGGCTGTTCATATGGTTTAAAAAGGCCACAATATACATTTAGCATTTTTTTATGCCGGCTTATAATCTTAGTTAACATTTCTTGGACCAAAAATGTATCATTTAGTTTTTCATGGCCATTTTCCACCCTTGCAATTAAACAAACTATTTTTGACTCTAGTTTTGATGCGTATGTACAGTGGGTACGGAAAGTATTCAGACCCCCTTACATTTTTCACTCTTTGTTATATTGCAGCCATTTGCTAAAATCATTTAAGTAAATTTTTTTCCTCATTAATGTACACACAGCACCCCATATTGACAGTAAAACACAGAATTGTTGACATTTTTGCAGATTTATTAAAAAAGAAAACCTGAAATATCACATGGTCCTAAGTATTCAGATCCTTTGCTCAGTATTTAGTAGAAACACCCTTTTGATCTAATACAGCCATGAGTCTTTTTGGGAAAGATGCAACAAGTTTTTCACACCTGGATTTGGGGATCCTCTGCCATTCCTCCTTGCAGATCCTCTCCAGTTCTGTCAGGTTGGATGGTAAACGTTGGTGGACAGCCATTTTTAGGTCTCTCCAGAGATGCTCAATTGGGTTTAAGTCAGGGCTCTGGCTGGGCCATTCAAGAACAGTCACAGAGTTCTTGTGAAGCCACTCCTTCGTTATTTTAGCTGTGTGCTTAGGGTCATTGTAAACCTTCGGCCCAGTCTGAGGTCCGGAGC